CAATTGAAATTGATTCTCTCATTTCGTACAACCTGCAAGCTGATCGATTCATTCGATCATTTGCGAGGAAAGAAGGATAGACATTTGTTCGAGGGAGTATAAGGTAGTGTTGAATTATTTGGTTCAATCGAGTAAATTCGAAATTTCGCGAAGAAGAGAGAAGAAATAGACCATTTCAGTGGGGTGTCGATGTTGAAGTTCCGGTGGTGAAGTTCGTAGAGAAAGGCAACCCGTGTGTGAACATTGCTCGCATAATCGAAGAGGAAGGAGAATGATCGTCGACGCGATGTGGCGGAGGAACGTTCTGTGCTTTCTGTGGATCACCACGATCCTGAGGATACAGGGTTTCGTTGCTGGTGATGCTGACCCGGCGATCCTCTCAGGGACTGATTTAGCTCATTTTCAACAGGTAAGAGAAATACTTTTATTCAAAGATCTATACAATTTCTTTCTTCTTAAAAGAAGAGCTTGTCTATCTTGTAATCTTTCTGAAATATTCTTAAGAAATTTCCTATTACTTTGGCATAAAATGTTATTGCAAAATTAGAGAATTTAAAAACTTTAAGAAGAATTTAAATTAGAATTTAAATTAGCTTCGTTCTTTCAATATATAGATAGATAAAGATTGTTCATTGTTCTCTATCGACTATCAATTTTGACGAGACAAATATCTGTAATCTAGAATTAGACTATAGAGTCGTTGGAGGAATATATTAATAAGAAACACAAATTAGATAAATGAAAGATGTAGTACTGAACGAGTGTATGTCGGACCGATGAATAATGAAAACCAATTAATAGAAATTCCAGATAAAATAATTTATTTCGAGTGGAAGGAAACGATAGAACTTTTCCATTTATACGAACCACGTAGAGAATCAAGCAATCCAACTGGAGTTTATTAATTCTGCCTGCTATCTATATCATAAAATGAAGATTTATCCTTTTTCAAATAAATCTGTCCGAGTTATGGAACGCAATAATTTATTTAAATGAACGAATGTATCGTTTAATTTAAAAAAGTGACAGTAACAACTGCAACAACTTTCGATGTTGTTTCATAGAAAGTAAACAACTTAAAGCATTCAGCTGTAAAGAGATCGCGTGTATGTAGATCGAGATCGATGTTTCACAATCTTGTAAAGCTTCTATCAACTAAATACAACAATACTAAACACAGGACAATTATATCTACACTTTCGAGAGCTTTTTACCAGATTTGAATATCATTCTAGTAGAAATTATCGTTCTCTCACAACGTGCAAATTGCATTTTCCATCGTTTAATGTGGTTAATATCATCGTTGAGAATCGTGACGAGAAAAACAGAAATATTTCTCTACTGTAGCAGAAATGGTCAAACTATTATAACAGTGAGGGTAAATTTAAAATTGGATGTTTATCTGACGGTAAAATAAAATTGCTGCATTTGCATTAAAAGATATTCAATTTCCAAGTACAGAACATAGAGAAATTTAATAAACGTGCAAATGATTTTTATTAAATTTATCACTCACTTCTGCTCACCAACTCCAAATACGAAAATAACATCCTCGTTTAAATGTTCAGAATGTCTATCCAAATTCTACTTCTTTAAACGTGAATTCATAAAAGTATGAATTTGCAAGATCCACAAATGGCCCCTCGCGTGACAACACATTTGGTTGCCAAAGTGTTGAAAGAACTTTTACGAAAAACCGTCTCGATCGTTTCACGTGGAACAATCTGACAGGTATCAGAGGATCCCTTAGCAAAGAGATTGCCACGTAGCGTGTGCAATTAAATTTGTTTCCAGATCTTACCGATCGTCACGGACAAAGTATACTTGGTGTGAAACGAAACCATTTGCAAATATGCAGATTTGATGGAATTGCTTCTTTTGCCCCGGCGGCTGACGTAATCAGGCCACGGGTGAAACACTTCAACGAGAACTTTTTTCATTACAATTCTTCGCTATCTTTCCTGAGAATCGTGAGCAAGTTTCACCGGTTGGGCGGTAAAATCCGCGAAAAAAGCTAGAAGAAGCCACGCTGTTAATTGTGCTCGCTCTGTTAAAGCGCCGTTTCTTTCACCGTATTTGTTTGTATCGCGTCATTCTCCCCTTTTCAATTTCACTCAACGTCGTGTGAATTTAAGCATCAAGCTCGAGCATGTGAAATGCACATTTTTCTTAATTACATCGAGGAAGAAGAGATAACGCTGCACGTCGTCTATCAAATGATAAGAAGATTTAGAAAACGCGCGAGTTTCAATTTGAAAAAAATATCGCAAAAGTTGCTAGATGGAAGCACAGGTATCTAGGTTTAGCATTAAAAATATGTTAATGAGATTATCCAAGTTATTTCGATACAGAATTTTAATATTCTTAGTGTTTCAGAGATCCTTTTTTATAATGGCCATTAAGATAATAGCTTGAAATTCAAAGTAAATGTTGTACTTAATTACTCACCGTTAATTACAATACGTTTCTGCAATCATTCTGAAATGATCTAACCCAGGATTTCTCTTCATCATCAAACTCAGTTTTCCTCGCAATAATACTCCACGAAATGTGCATTCATCGTTTTTGCGTTTAATCGTCTTCCATCTTTATAACTTTAACATAGTATAAAATCATAGTATAAAATCCTAATCCTTTTCGTAATAATAAAATAATCCCCAATACTTTTCTACAACTTTCAAATCATAACTCTTTGAACTTGATACTTTCATTTCGCATATAATCTTTTTTCTCTTTATCAAATCATTTCGCTTATTTATATTGAAAGAAATCGTTGTTTAAACTGGTAATGTAGCGACATCTGTTTCCCAATCGTCTGGTCGAAGAGTCCATTTCAAATAAATTTACGGCGCCAGTTCTAAAATAAGAAACCATGTAAAAATCAATATTTTAATATAATTACTATGGAGACGTTTGTAAATAATTGTCAAGGATACTTATAACAAATTAACGAAGGTATAAAATAAGAGTTGTGTAAAATAGATAATCTAAAGATAGAACATTGAATATTCTAAAGTGTATAAATAATTAATTAATTAATTTTATTGTTCAATTAAATATTATTAAATAATAGTTATTAAAAGTATTAATATCAACAAAGTGTATAGTTATTTGTAGTACGGTGGATTTATAATTTATCGATCATCGTACCTACAAAATTGCCATCCTATTTTATAAGCGGTCCCGATGTAAATAAAAGTCGTAGATTTCATAATGGTAAATTTGATCGTCGAGTCCTCGATGCAAGGTTTCTTCGATGCTCGAGAGAAATCTAGCAATTGGAATCAAGAAACTGATATTGCGGAGGATAGAGATAGCAACACCTGACATCGGATAGAAGTTTCTGAGTGATGGTAGAAACAGGGGTCAGAAGTTACTCTGTTAGTGGGTGAACATCTTGGTTCTACTTTCATACGTTAGTATAATACCTCTCCTTCGGTCACGATTTTCCTACTTTTGCACCAGCGAGACACATAATTATTTGTACGAGCAATATCTCGATTATAATAATCAAAATGGCGTTCATCGAGTATAAAAAGAATAATAGATTAGATATTTTCAATCGAATATCTTTAATCAAAATGGCGTTCGTTTCCAAATTTTCTTTTTTCTTCTTCTTCTTCGTATAAAGAGAATAATAGATTAGATATTTTTAATCGAATTAGCAACTGAAACGTCAAACTGAAGCAGTGAAACATCGAATGAACGAGAGTTAAACATGATCAAGATTTAACACGTGTTCCTCACTGAATTTGCTTGAATTTTTCCTCGCGTGAATTTTCACGCTCGAACTTTTGAAATCTTTTGTCGCAGGACAAAGATGGAGACGAGATTTTCCATTATTCCTCGCACGCCGGCATTGTCAGCAACAAATCTCGTTGAATACGTTCCTCGTGTTTTCCTGTCATTCCGCCAAGGAACACTTTCACGAACTCGGCGATAAAGTTTAGAACATCGGAGACGTTTCTCTCGTACGCAAGCAACGTCGATTCCATCTCCAAATAGTTTCTCTTACGGAGAGGTACTTTTTTCTTTTCTTTTCTTTATAGCTCGCTCGCGAGCATCCGTGAAATCGAGAGTTACGTTCTTTTTCACCGTTAGACACGCCGCGATACGTAATGCTAAGAGGAAGAAGAAGAACCGGAAGTCGTGTCGATAGAATGTCCCTGACGCTTCCGTTTTCACGCACGGAATGCTCTGCCCATCGAACGCGGCAATCCATCGTTCCTTTCCCCCCATTCCGACAGCGATTTATATCCTCGCTTTTTCAATAACTACGATACTACATTTTACAACTTCTGCGTTAAAAAGAAAAAAAAAAATTGAAGCAAGAAATCGAGAATTTAATTCACATTAATTGTCTCTACAATTTTCTATTATTCACAGATTCTTTCACAATTCTTCTTTCAAATATTCTTTCAATAATCGTGCCAAGCATACGATTCTATCTTCTGCATTAGAGTACTTGGATGTTAATCGTGTCACGATTTTCCACATAGATTCTTGTCTTTCGATTAATAAGACTGGTGCTAGGAAAAATTAAATGGAACCGTGATTGAGATTGTGACCTTAGCGTCATCGACATCATTGCCAACGAGTCGCAGGAAGTCCGTAGTCGCAACGTAGTGATTTTCGTTTTCACTTTCAATCTAAACTACACGGGGTTCTTTTACCATGTTTCTTCTATTACAACTTTCTTCCTCGTCTCGAGATCTTTTTATACAAGCAACTTTTGTTCGCGTGTTTTTCCTTCTAAAGAAATTTGCTGCTTGCGTGTCACGGATTATTTTCGTACGTTTCGTGCGTTTAACTGGACACAATTAAACAGAGATTGATCGACGCCTCGAAGGATTTATGCAAAGTTCAGCACGATCCGATCCACCTTTCTCGAGGGCACGAAGTGAGATCAAGGCGAATATACGGGACAATAGGTGAAGGTGAAGGATGCCGCACAGTCTCTCACTTTCTCCAGAAAACCTTACCGATTAGCCAGACTCTAACGAGAAGTGAGCTCAATGTAATTCACAGGTACAGACGGAAGTGCTCGTTCTTTTTTTTTTTTTTTTTTT